ACACACACACACACACACACACACACACACACACACACACACACACAGTCAGAACTCTGAAAAAGGCAAGACACATCAGCCTGAGCTCCAACTGGGTGAGATCATTACTGTGGTAAAAATACTGCTGTCCTCAGAGAAACATGTTTCTCACAAACACTTTCACACAGTCAAGGAAGTAATAACGCACAACTACACGCGTACACACGTGCACGTATTCAGATGCATGCGCATACATCATAATCATCTTCCAACTGCCACCACAACATCCTGCCTGAATATATATATTTCAAACAAAACACAGGGTGAGAGTCATTGGCTGCCCAGATATACTCCTGTTGGGACATGGCTAGCTCCATGACATCATCCACATGTAGGAAGTGGTGTGCTTTCTGAGCCGGAGCTATTGATTAGATAGTGAATGGAGAGAAACCGAAGAGGAGTCACCGATTGTTTTCAGATCAATGTGTTCCCAGTACACACACACACACACACACACACACACACACACACACACACACACACACACACACACTATCTGCCAATCGCCCATCTTTCCTGCAATGACTTCCCCTTGTTTATGGACAGTTCAAGTCATTCACATTTAGCTTCAAAATGTGAAAAAACATCAATCTACTGAGAGATGTGTGTTTCTGCAAGACTGTGCCCTAATCTCCTTTTGGCAAGCTTCTGCATAAGTAACAGTTAAGGCCTCTGGTAGGGAGCTCAGTGATTCATCTTATGTTCACCCTGTCCATCCCATTTATGGATTATTTTCTTTTCATCTCTCGATCTGACCCTCATTCCTATCGCTTCCCACTCGCAGTACCCCTCACTTGATTTGCAGCGAATGCGTATGTATGGTGTGCTCTGTACATGTGCCTGTGTGGTCTGCGTACGTGAGGCTGAAAATAAGTCCGTCAGATATGAAGTCATCGCAGGAATTATCAGCATCGTAAATCTGAGGTTCAGTAGAGGGGCAGGGGGAGAGGTGGGGGAGAGGGAGAGCGGGGAATGAAGGGAAGAGAGAGAGAGAGAGAGAGAGAAAGAGAGGATGATTACTGTTTTTACCTTGAATCTCTAAGAGAGTGAGAGGGGGAGTAAAGACAATCAAAGCCAAGAATGAGGGGAAAGAGAAAAAGGGAAGGAGGGAAAAAAAGAAGGGCCTCAGCTAATAATAACATTTATTGTGTAGCCATCAGGTTTTAAGCTGTAAAAATAGTGAAACAAGCCTGTAAAAATGTTCTGGAGCCCGTGGGGACGTCCTCAAATTACTTGTTTTGTCTGAGCAGTAGCACGTTCTCAGATTTGAGCCGCTGCAACCGGGGATTGTTTGATATTTATGCTTGATAAATGACGAGTCATTAATTTAATTGCAGCAAACACACTTATGATCGATTGCTTCAGCAGTTAATTGCTAAAAATAGAGTAGAAAGTAGAAAGAAAAACTGACACCCTTTTAGACCACAGGCTCTTATCTTTTGTTGATTGTTGAACAAAGAACTGATGGTTTAAATTGTTCCCCCATATATTTTCGAATAAGCATCATGTCTCGTTCATTAAAATGATTTAATAAGCATTGTTCAAAAGCCTTATTCCCTGGCCACCATGTCCCCTTCTTGTCTCTCACGACATCTCTCTCATGATAACTCTGCAGCTTCCTTTGACACACAAACACATCCTGCAGCACTCATCCGCATGTTATCATGCACAACATGCAAGCGTGCATACGTGTACACGCAACGCCCCCCCCCCCCCCCCCCCCCCCCCCCCCCCCCCCCCTTCTGCCCACCCACCTACACGCATAAACACACAAACATCAAGTATGCACGGACGCAGGCTGCATAGCTCCACTGACCCCAATAATACAACCACCCGAACAACAGCCGACGCCATTGGCTGAGTCCTTCTGGGGAATATTCTCTGCCACTGTTGTCGTGGAAACAGCAGAAAAGCGGGGACAGAAACGGAAGAAGTGCGATTCCTTCTTTTTCCTGATGAAACGCAGCGACAGTAAGCCGAGGAGACTGATAAAGAGGAAGAGGAGGGAATCGCTGACAAGGGGTCTTTCATTAAGACGGGTATGACGGTCTAATCAGAAAAGCTGAGGAGGAAAGTCCTGGCTTTCGGGAGAGTATGTGTGATATTGAGCATGCATTGTGGGTGTGCCCAGCCTAAGCATGTGCTCAGTACATCTCTGTGACTAATTGTGGAGCCCGGGTGCTTTGAGGCAATCCTCAAAATATATGAATGACTCATGAAGAAGCGCTAATCTCCCAGCGGAGGGGAGGGAACTGAGAAGAGGAGAAGAATGGGGATGTGGGAATGCCGAGAAGTGAGCAGAAATTTGCCCAAGCAGCGTGCTTCTGCCGTCTCATTTCCAATCCTGACTGAGGCAGATTACGCTCCCCATTCTGACACATTGGAGACGGACTCAGAAGCCTCCGCTGGTCGGTGTGTGTTTACTGTCCCTTAAAATGCTGCAGCCACCACAATGGAGATGTTATTAACTCAACTAGGCTATTAACAGTCATGCTGGGGCTCAATTATAAGTCTTAGTGTGCTTAGTGGACACTATGTCAGGATATATATGTGGTAAATAAGACCAGAGGATTGAAATTAAGCTGCAGCTTTATTTCAGTGGTGCTGGGGAAGAGAACGACTCCGGGGGAAGCTTAAACATCAAAGAGTCATCAGAGAGGCTTTGTAGCCGGGCTTTTATACTTCCTCCTCTCGTTCCTGTCTTCACACATACCTGTGAACCTCTGAACCCGTGATTACTGCCGGTTAACAAATGAGGAACAACTCGAATAATGTGAGGAGACGAACGCTTGTCGGGCTCATCGGTGACATCTGCTGACCAAACTGTGGAACTACACTCAAATCAGTCAAGCGGGGTGAGGTGAGGCACACTTCCCCGCTTTGCAATAACAAGTGGGTAATTAAAAGAGACCATTCTGGATGAAGGGACTCATCTTTTGTTTACATAGGGAAAAATGAAGAAAAACAAACACTGCCTTCATCGCACTCATGCTCGTCACACTGTCACGTACCAGTGAGCAGGAAGACTTTGTGGAAGGTGCCCTCCAACTTCCCCATGAGAATGTGCACAAAGCCGTCTTTGGACAGATGCCCCGCCTCTTTGGAACTCTGGTCATAAACCACCACTTCCTGCTTCCTGCCCAGCTCCACCTGCACAACAGATAAACAACAAGGAAGAGAGGAGAGTTATTTTCTAGTGCCACTGTGAAACGTACAACAAGCATCCATTGCCAACAAGGAAGAAAGAGTTGGTTAATATGACCAGAATTAGAATAATCTAATACTGGACAGTGTAACTGGGAATGCATTGCATTTGGGACACACACACACACACACACACACACACACACACACACACACACACACACACCTCTAGATAAAACCAATACATTTTATCAGACCAGCTGATCATTAAAAGGAAAATGAAGCGTATTCCCTCTCAGCTGAGCAAAGTCTTTTCTTTCAAACTTTGTGACAAAAGAAATGCAAATGAGCTGCAGCAGGGTTGACATCTCCGGCTGTCTGACCCTGAGGTAGTTTCCCCAAAAACTTGACAACTCTGCTTCCCTGATACCCACCAGGAAGCAGCAACAAGGCAAACAAAAGGAACTCTAAACACTAAACACTGGCTTTATGGATGCCAGTGACTGCACCAGTAAGCAGGATGAACTACAGGTGACGCTGGAGTAAGTTATGAAGAGAAAGCACAGGTTTATGAAAAATGCATTAGGTTGAGTTTGCACTGTGCAACTGCGGCGGTAATATTTACTGAGCAGATACTGCTCAGAGGGTTTTCTCTCATAATCTGAGGTAAAACTGATAAAATCCAAAAAGCTGACTACGTTGTGAAGGGTTTGGATCCATCAGTGTATCAGATAGTGAGCAAGATGAGAAAGTATGAGCATGCGCCAGTGTGATAGAGTATGCCTCTGTGTGTGTGTGTGTGATAGTGTGAGCGTGTGCCTGCGCACACACACCAGCCAGGCTGTGTTGTTCCCCATGTTGTCAGGCAGGCTTTGGTCACATGACCACCAGGCAGCGCCTACTGCAGCTATGAATCACTGCATCATTGAGCCGCCACTGGACAGGAGAGGAGAGAGGGAGGAGGGCGAGCGAGCTGAAGAGAGGGATAAAGAGGGTGGGGTTAGTGGAGTAGTGGGGCAGGGGGAGATGGAGATGAGATAGAGAAAGATGCTAGAGGAAAAGGAAGAGCAAGAGAGGGAAGAAGAGGAAACTCAAAAACGTAACGCAGAGTGCACCACCCTCATCTAAAAAAACGTGAACGTTGAACAGCCGCTCTAGCTCCAAGACAAAACCGCACTTTCTCTCAGCGTGGCCACCATCCCTTCATCGCTCTGTGTGTATGCTGAAAGGCCCGCTGGTGATGAGAGCTCATGTACACACAGCTATACAGTGTGCATAGAGTGACTGATTATGTTTCTGCTTACAGAGCAGCTGTGGCCCAAGCGCCTGGGCAGACAGCCATGCAGGTGAGTTAGACAGGACAAGGTCAGCCTCTGAAGTCTGGCTACAAGTAAAAGAGCGGCTTAGCTCTGCCTGCCTGCATCCAGACACAAAGGCATGAAAAGCTGAGGCACAAAGCCTGATCCGTAGCATCGATCGTGAGGGACTTCAAACAACTCGATGACACCTCTACGATGCATAAAGAGGTTACCACGGATGACTTCAGAGTTGTATCTGTTCTCCGCTGCTTGTCGAGGCGCCCTGATGGCCGAGGGGTTTAAGGCACAGACCTTTAAATGCAACGTTCCTGGTTTGAGTCTGGTTAAAAGACTTCATTACACGTCACATGTCGCACGTCGATCCCCTCACTTCCTGTCATTTCTCTACCGTCGACTGTACAATAAAGTTCTATAATAGCCCCTCAAACACTTAACACAGATGACATGTGATAGCATCGAGCCCTTTACAGGCGCTCATAGAAAACTGTACAGCCTTTCATTTGTCAGTGAAAGACATCAATGCAGTGCTACACATTAAAAATACAGTGTTCACCCTATTTTTAGTCTTTACGTGCTCATAGCACTCATTTCTTTGTTATTTTTCCTTCTTACATGTTCATCTCCATGCCTCTCTTTCTTTGTTTAAAATCCCCTACACCCTCCATCTTTACTAACCCTGCGTAACCTTGGCTAATGATCCTAATGGGATCCCATCTAATTTGGGAGCCTGATCTCGACGCCTGGGGATTACAGGCCTTTTACTATACATACATGCACAGCACAAATACACTCAGCAGACACAAAGCTAAAAGTGTCACCTCTCGGGCAAAAACAAACCGTGAGCGCTTGACGATTTCACATGTATGTCAGTTAAAACATTCTATTAGGTTGTTGGGGTTAATAATGATGTGTTGGGTTATATTACCAGAAACTAAAGGAGGAACAAATTCAACTGGACAGGACGGAGTTAACAGACAGATTTTATCTGTATTAAAAATATCCACACTATTCATTCACTGCTTCAGCTAAGAGGATACAATTACACCTCCACTCATCCCATCTGAACCCTGTGAGTTAGGAAACAACAGCTGCCTCAATATTTAATAGAAGTGTGTGAATGATAGTAAATAATAGTGCGGTATCAGCTGCTCTGTAGATTGTGCTTATGATGATGGAGTTTGCTGCAGTGTTAGAGGTCAACGACCCGAGGGAGCGCGGGGCCGGCTGTCAGACTGCAGCAGCAGCACAGAACTCTCATCCCTCTGCAGTGCTACGGCATCGCTACTACTACTGTGCTGCTCTGACGCATGCACACTGCAGGTAAACAAGGAATGCCACTGGCAGAGAGAAGGAAAAAAAAAAAAAAAAGGAGGGACCATGGAAACAGAGTGGAGGGAAAGGAAGGCCAAGGAGGTGATCAGAGCGAAAGTTAAGGCAGGAGGACGATCAAATATAAAGAGAGGAATAAAGAGGGGAGGACGGTGCATAGAGGATCAGAAGGTGGCACTGGCAGAACAATTGCTATGGTCCTTTAGCACCCAAGCTTTCTCTTAAGGATCGGAAGGCTGGCGTCACAAGAGGGCAGAAACAAAGATTGGTCATATAGGGGGGGGAGAGGATATATTTTTTATCCCGTCATTTGCAGAGGGAAACAGCAAAAAATAAAGAAGGAGATTGCAGGGGAAGCAAGAGACAGAGCTGAAGAAATGTGTACTAATGTGTTGGAGAAAGAGACAATGTGGGTGTAAAAGAGAAAAGAATGAAGGTGTTGGGCAAGAGAGAAGTCTCTGCATGTTTCTTACTGACCCTGTGTTATAAAATATAAAAAGAGTGGGAGAAAAACAAGATCTGACAGAAGGCTGCGAGTCAAGGCTCGGCCTTACCGTCAATGCTCCTCTATAAAAACAGTCTGCACACACACACAACATGAAACAAAGATGACAGGGGGGGGCAACAACAGATATCAGTGGAATTGCGGAAACACAGCCCCAGCGTACGATAAGTGCTTGTGTAAGAAAGTGAAACACGGTTTCCCCCGACCTCAGCAGTGCTCCTGACCAGTGACAAGGTCAGTGCTGAGTGGGACAGTATGTGTGTTTGTGTGTGAACTGGCCTGTGACACAACATCAGCACAGTCTAAAAATGGCCCCAACATTCCTGAAGCGCAGTCCGGGTCCTCTCAATGCGTCCTCTCTGGGATGTCCCATAGAAAACAAGTCGACTGCAGTATGAACTCATTTCAGCCAATTGAGGGCACAAGATGGCACTGTGTGCAAGAGTCAGGCCTTAAGTTGATTCATCAAATGCAGAAAAAACACGGTACAAATCACCCTTTCGCTGATTAATAATGTATTTGTATGCATATTTTTAACAGGGTTATTATGTCAATGTGGCTACAGACCGGCTAAATGGTTGGACACTCCCTAAAGTTCATTACATGCTGATAGAGGAGCTGCTGCCACAGGCAGTGTCAGCTTAAGCCTCCTCCACACACACAGTGTGCCGGGGAGCAGATGATGTCACCGACTGGCACCGGCAGCTGCCACTTACATGTATGCTTGTATAGGTGTGACGTGTGTGTCACAGCGTTCCTCTACTTCTATCCTTGCGAAGACCAAATACAAAGTAGTCACAGGTTTAGGTAACAGGCTTGTGTTTAGAGTTGGCATCATCGTTGACGAGTTTAAAGGTTAGGGATATAATTTAGTTTGTGTTAAGATCTCAAAATGATAGCTGTGTGTGTGTGTGTGTGTGTGTTTCAGACAGGGATGTGAAAGTGTGGCACAGTGTTGAAAGTCCCCGATGCCCATGTGCAGTGCGAGGTCATCGTCACTGATCGTTTCAGAGATGTGGTCACCTGATCTGTTCACACACTCGCACCGCTAAATGTCAGAGGACCTTTAAGACATGAACATACAGACGCACACCAGACTTACACATTCAGATGCAACTGGTGCGTGCAGACATTTACATAGAAGTGTACAATTTCCCCGTCGGACTCAGACTAAAGAAGCACATGCATGCTGTGGATCCGGCGTCGTCCTCCTGGCTTTGCAGACAATGAAAGACACATTTCATATCTGTAAATCATGAATGAATCATTTCCTCCATTTTCCCTTTACACTCATGACCTAACAGATCTATTTTAACATAAATGTCACTCCTTCTTTGTGGTGCAGTGGGGTTGTGTCTGAAACTACATACAGTATGTAAGTGTGTGTGTCTATGTCAAACAGTAGGATCTTTAAAGCAAACAATGATTCATGCCATGACCTCATCAAAGTAAACACATGACATATCCTGCTCTGTAGAAAAAACACTGCCGGGTTCTTTGTTTGAACTTGGCAAAAAGGAAAAATGTGAATGAAACGTACAAAAAAAAAAAAGACAAAATCCCTGAGTTTGCCCTCATCGACTAAGTTCTCGGTTCTGCTGCGGCTGTCGAGACAGAATACACGTGAAACTTTCATGTTCTTTCCTTTATTTTGAAATGTTGTTTTGTGGTAACTGGAGATGTCTGTGTCCAGAACAATACTATTAAGAAAACTGTACGGGGTTTCCCAAAGTTCTTACCAGTGTCTTTGCCCGACGTCTGCCACTACTTTTCTTTTTTTTTTACACAATCACAGGAATACTCGCCATTAAATCTTCAAACTCATCCTCGAATCACGGATCATTACAGCCTCAGCCTGCGTCATAAGTGGAATGGACGGGGATCTTCTTTGTTGCATAAACGCATTAGTTGATCATGTGCAGTCTCCCCCTGTGCTCGACAGCAGGGGACTCAGCCAATCCTCCCAATTAAGAGCACAGACAAGATCACAGATCCAGCAGCTGGATCTCTCTATCGCTACGACGTCATTATACCGAACAACAACAATTGGGCTACTGTTCGTTAACAGTTGCAGATATACTAGAGTGGAATTACAGGTGTGAGACTTTACTGTTATCTTTAAGCTTATACAGTAAAACAACAGTTTATTGCTTAATAAAGTGCCGCACATCACAACTTCCCTCATTTTTCAAAATGATCATTTGCTTTTCAAATTGTTGTTGATTAATTTGCTGTCGATCTGCTTATTGATTCATCCACTAATTGGTTTAAAGCTACATCAGTGTCATTGATTCACCACCCTTGGTTATTTTTTTAAAATCAATGATCAGTCTCTAACTGGCTGATAAGGATGCACCGACCCAATTTCCCCCCCTAGTGCTGACTCTAGTATCGGCCAGTACAAAACTCTCTTACTCCAAAATTACAATATATGTAAAGCACACTGTCTGGAAGTCATAATTCGATTTTATTAGCGGAACCACAAAAATACCACGGTCCAAAAATGCTGAATCACAGCAACCTTCACGGCTCCATTTGTGTCCTCTCACACAAAAACTACAAAACTTGAAACATGCTCGTGAATTTAAATATGTCAGTTCCTCCACATTCTGCCATGTGACAGCTTGCACGAGTAACTTCTGTCACTGTGAGGAGGCTGCTGTATTCTCTCCACTACTCTGGGTCCCATTAAGGTCTGGCCTCCATGCCTGCATACATGATGAAGCGTGCTTCCCCAAGGCTGGCTGCCGGGAGTGAAAACCTCTGGTCCATCTGTCAGGGCCTGCCTGGCCGGCTGTCCTTGTCACAGCAGCAGGGATTAGCCAGGCTTAAGCCAAGAAACCGGCCTGCCCTCCTGGTCAGGAAAGGCACGAGGAAGCCCCATTCCCAACTAAGCCTGTGCCATCCCTCTCCCAGCAGAGGTCCACCACCACCTACCCTGCTGTATCCAGCTCTCCCTGACCCACATTAATAGAGAGCATTAATAAAGAGGTTATGGAGGGATGGGGCTGTGAAAGGGAGAAGAAAGAGGACACCGTTTTTGATTGCCGCTGCGCTGGTCATGGATGTTCATTCAGCTCAGTTAACTGAAGCGTTGGGAGCTTCTATGAAAGAGGGTGAGTGCAGCGCCTTGGGGGATGCAGGCTATTAGTGCTCAATGGGATGTGAGGCGGGAGGCAGCCAGGGAGGAGGCGGAGGCAGCAGCACAACCATGAATACCCTCAGTGCTGCTCTCCCGCTTCCTGCATTCACTTCCCCAACAAAGAGCCACAATGGTGTCCTTTGCTGTCTTGGCTGGTTGAGGCGGCTCCTGGCGATGCTCAGAGCCATGTGGGGGGTAGAGAGGATAGTGTGTGTGTGGGGTTAGCTGGGAGCCGGCTTTAACATCGCACAGCCCGTCTGCACGTGCCCAGCCCGCGGCCTGCCAGTGGCCGCACAAAAGGGATGATGTCATGCTTAGCCAATAACAAAAGAGTCTGGGTCCGTCGGGCCCTCCTCTCTCACACGGATAGTTCCAGCTTTATCCAGCCGGGCATTAATCGCAAGCCTTATCCTCTTTGCTGGGGGTGGGGAATGGATAATAACAAACCAGCCATGGGGCAACACAAGATAGGGAGAGGAAGAAGGAATAAATGATGACGGCATGTCGGCGGTGGGGGGAAGCTGCAGGCTGTAGTTGTGGGAGACGGACGGACAGTCATGAGATCGAAAGTGAGAGAAATCAGGAGGAAGCACGGCTCCATGGGGTGCCACAGCGCGAGACCTGCCAACCACAGGGACCCACACCGAGATGGACCCAGCATTGAAACACACTCAAGAACAACCAAAACCTCTCACACTTCACAGCTCTCCAGCTCCAGCTTTTGTTCCAGTTTCGGTCTAAATCCGTAGACTACCAGAGCGGGGTCATGCATCATCACCACCTGAAATAAAAGCATTATCTCAAGCAAAAACTGAATCTGTTGGTCGGGATGATCACACATTTCTGAGATGCAGGATCTCCCATGTGGCCTTCAGGCGTCGCAGCATCTCTGGTGTCCTGGTACCTGGTAACTCAGGCTGGCAGAACACACTAATACAAGAGTTCTTACACAAGATCGTTGTCCAGCTAATAGTGGTACATTTTGGTGAGAAGAAAGGCATGCGGGTTTGACTGCCAGAAGCCAGGGCAATAAAGCTGAATTAAAACTAATTGGTATAACAGAGAGGCAGTGAGAAACAGCAGGCGCATGGGGACTCTCAGCCAATGTACCAATTATGCAAACGCTATTAGCTGAACCGCAGTTTCATTTGACGTGAGAAAGTAACAATAATCTACAGTTCTCCTCCATTTAACCGTCTGACCATAAGGAAAGTGTCAGTCAAGTGTGAACTGTCATCCAACAAGGAGTGCAAAGCAATAATCTGAAGCAATAATGTATAATTATTTGCCGTTTCGTGAGCAGGGCGTGTTTTTGGTGATTAAAGTTCTCTTGCTGAGCACCAAATGGAAATACAGAGTCAGTTTGTTCTCTACAACTCTGGGGACTGGTGCAGTATCTAAAGAGCATGAAATGGTAGCAGGTCATAAATCACATTCATAAGTAGATTTGACAGACTGAGAGGTGTTGTAACCAGGAAGTAAAACAACAAAAGCAATAAATACTGCCATTTAAAACCCAATGTGTCACACCCAAGAAAGACATTTCAATCACCTGTTATGTGTCATCGGCCACTGTGAATCAGCGTTTTACAACTTTGGGCGTACTGTGCTTAAAAAAAATGAAATACCTAAAAATAAGATTTGGTGAGTGAGTGCAGCCAGGAAGAAGAATCCCATCTATCACCTCCACAGCTTTGTTGATGAATTTGTCCAATCGTGAAAAACTGTTGGGTGAAGTATGCACGCCTACGAGGGCACAAAATACATCCCGCACATAAACCCCCCCCCCGCTTAGGTTTCCCCTCTCAGAGTTCCTTCAGTTTCACACAGCGACTAAAAATACAGGAGTTAGCGTGCTACGGGGTGGACAGGCCATGGAAAAAAGGCTGTCGTATTCAGAGGAGAAGTCATGGAAAACGGGAGGATCCGATTTCAGGGCCACTGATAAGCAACAAACCTACAGTACGCCCGCCTGCCCGCCAAATATAACCCCACTGATGTGGAGCAGGCTTGAGCTAGCACAGAGGAGGTTGGAAATGTTTGGAGATGTTGGCGAGGCAAAGTCCCTCCTCAACGCCCAACTTGTTCCATCTACTGGACTTCCTTTCTATCATATGCACGACACACACAACATGTCTGTACAACTTAAGAGTATACCCTGACCTTTAACCCTTGAACATAGAGCTGTAGACCAACATATTGCCTGTGTCTCTACGTCCATTTAAACAAAAAAGTCTCTTTGCTGTATTCCTGTTTTATTCCCGTGCTGATGCTGCTACTGATGCCGAAACAAGCGAGATTATGCGGACGTGTCCAACGCACTGTACTTTAAATGCACGATTTCAACTAACAACCCGCAGTTGCAAGAAGAGTCACTCTATGTTTCTTTGTATGTCACAGGAAAAATGTGTTATCCCAAAAGTCTACAAGTAACCATGCCTTTTAAAGGTTGAATAATCAGATCTTTAACTGGGTCTTTTTGGTCTGGACATGTGGAAACATACAAAGAAAACACTACGTTAGAAAAATGACATAAAAGCATAAAATCCTTGTTGAACATAAAAAACAAATAAAAAAAAACAAAACAGTACAGCATTTTGGGAAATGCACATATTTGCGTTTGAAGGTAGAAGAGTTAGTTGAAGAGAATACGAACACTCAAGTACTCTCATAACAGGGCTACAACCAGCAGCCAGTTAGCTTAGCTTTGCAGAAAGACTGAGAACATGGGGAAACTCCGAAGCTCACAACAATTTGCCGGGATAATGTGGCAGATTATTAAAATGGTAGGAATCCAGTTTCTTGTCTTTATCAGCAAGCTGGAAGCTTTGAATCCAGCACCTAAAGGAAAGCCCCCCCCCCCCACACACGCAAAAAGCATCAACTGTCAGGTCTGCTCACCTTCACCTTGCCATTGGGTTGCAGCAGCTCAGTGACGGACACCTTGTCCTGCTGCAGTCGCCTTTTCACCAGCTTGGAGCAGCAGACGTTGACCGCGCCTTGCACGTGCGACGCATTGTACTCGGAAAAGGTTCTGCTGTCGATCACCAGCAAACGGCCCGTTCCTCTCTGGATGAGGCTCGCCAGGCGCTTGATGTCCATAGCGCTTCGCTTAGTCGGCCCTTTCTCGCCCGCCATGATGTAGGAGGGGCCGAGCGGTCACAGACACGGGTGGGGGTGGGGAGTAAGGGATGGGGCGTGGAGGTAGAGGGGTGGATGGGAGAGGAAGTGGTGGAGGAGGAGGAGGAGGTCAGTGGAGGAAGGCTACCACCGAAGCAGGTGCTGAGAGATCCATGGTGCCTAAAAAAGGAGGAGACAAACAGAGAGGAAGAAGAAGAAGAAAAGTCTGTGAGTTTTGAGATGCTGATGATCAGACATCACGGCCACCTCTCGTCCTGAGCTTCAGCCCACTCATGCCAGCGCAACAAATGCGATCATTTAAACCCCACTGCTGCAAAGCAACAATGACAGAATTTATTGCGTATAAATTTCCAAAACCACAGTCAAGTGCACGTTGTATTTTTATGCATCGTATTATCTTTTACTGGCAGACTTCGAGCACCAAAAATAGCCACAATGCTAAACATGAATATAAAAAGTTATTTAAAGGCTTCAAAGCCAACTGAATCATCCCCTGAGATTCATCAGTCCTGAGATAGAAAATATCACACATCCAAACACAAAGCCTAAGACTTAAGATAGACACGGACCACAATAAAACGTGCGTGCGTGTGTGTGTGTGTGCGCCCGCGCGTCGGCATAAGTGTGTGTGAGGGCTGGTTGTTGTTGATCGAGGGTCTCATGAAACAGGAAACTGAGGGCGTGAGATAAATTAAGCTAGGGGAATTCAGAGAGCAGGTCTGGACACAGGCAAACGGCCCATCTGACATCCTGTGTATGCGCGTGTGTGTGTGTGTGTGTGTGTTACAGAGAGCCATCCATAAACTTGATGAACTGAACTCCTCCTGTCTATCACTAATCACTCTGATATTTAAACCAGCTCACGGTCCCCACAGCGCTTGTACGTTTAATGTGACACACACACACACACACACACACACACACACACACACACACACACACA